GCCAAGGACACAGAATACACTGCTAATGTCTGTCCTCCTTCTCTCCCTCCCTCTTCTCCAGACTCTGCACAGCATTTCCCTCACAAAATTATCCAAAGAAATGTCTGTAGCACCCTGGCAGGAGGGAAGTGCATGAGCCCTTGATGACTTTCTGAGGTCCCTTACAGCCTGTGTTATTCTGGCTCTTCAATATTTTTCATGCTTGAATGTGCAGATTTCCACAGCAGCTGGATTTCCTAGAACATGCAGTTCCAGCTAAATGTATCCAGCTGTATATGCAAACACAGAGGCAAAACAATTTCTATGAGCAGATATTATCAGATGTAACTTCACAGGTAACATTCATTACAATTCACATGAAATATTGAAATCTGTGAATGTATGCATTTGTGTTTGACTGCATACATCCTGTGAAACTGAGTTTGCAGAGAGAGAGCACTCTCCTTAGAAGGAGTTGAATTCTTATTCTGTCATTGGGTGGAATAATACATAATTCAAGTTTTGGAAATATTACTTGGTATCACTCGAGCATAATGCTGAGGCTGATAAATTCACTCTGAACAATAACTCAGAAATGGGAAAGCCATTTCTAATAGCCATACATTGACTGTCAAAGTCAAACCTATGGAACTGCACACATTTTAGAGAGCTTGTAAGTCCCAAAAAAGCAAAGGATTTCTGACTCTTAGGCAATATGCTCTGCTGTGGGACTACTAAACTCTTTTTCTTGCATTGTCTAAACAAGACTGTGAAGCTTAAATGAGCATATTTGAACCTCCAATTCAGTTTATAGCACTAACTCCTTTTGATGATTTCATGCAGAAGGCTAAATATTTCACTGAACTCAGTATTAAAATTCAAACAATGCAGTCATATGTAATTAGTTAGTTTCTAAGCAATATTATTCGACTTCACACAGCGAAGACTGCTAGAAGAAATAATAAACCAACACTTTAGTTCAGAACAGGGAAAAAATATGTTCTTTCTCTACTAAGTTTCTCAAGAAGAAGCTGAATACATAATAGTCTACATCTACCGAAGAAGCATCGTTTTCTCCTTATGTGCCTTGGGTCACGCTGGCAATACCTTGGAGGCCTTTTGTATTTCTTAACTGCAATGTGGATTTACTGCCACTAGGTGTTAGCCTTCCTCCATTTGTGAAGAAAACTGCCCTCCCTGAATAAACCGGGATCATCCGTGGGTGTACCGCCCAAAATGCAAAACAGGGGCCCATCGCGATGGAAGTATCTTTGTAAACATGGAAACAACAAAAGCCTCTCCCGCAACACCTCCCACAAACAAACAAAAAGTCACAAAAACCCCCCAAATCGACTAAACCAATCCCCCCAAACCAATGTAAACGTTCCAAAATATTAAAAGAAGAAAAACTGTTGTATCCTGACAGGTTAAGACACTGTCCCTCTAGCTAGCTCTGGTCAGCAGCTAACAGCAAACATTGAAATGTGACTGTCTTACCTGTAAGAGCTACTGCCCAGAAATATCCCAACACTGCACAGTCAGAGATATTCAACTACAGAGGTTCATTGTCATAAAGCCTTGCATGTTCATTTGACCATATTTAATATTTACCAGCCTTTATGGGGGCTGTATGCCTTGCAGGAGGCATTCTGTGGCAGTCTTTAATGCTACATGTACCAATATTTCGCTGTCTCCCACACAAAATAAGAATAAACCACTACGACTGTGTTACGCAACCCAGTGACTGACACATAAGTAAAAAATTGTTGATATATTTACCCATTGTAATACCCACAGATGAAGTCCAATCCTCCTCACTGAGGCAAACGTTGCCAAATGAAAAGAGGTGGGAAATGGAGAAGAAATTAGATGAACATATTGTGAAAAGAGGAAAAATCTGTTGACGAAAGAAATTACAATAACCAAAGCCTTGCAGTCAGGCAAGGCATAAAGCAGCAGTGAGATGCCCACAGAATATAATTTCTCTGAAGAGACGTAGCTTCAAAACAGTTATTTCAGTGCTGGGCATGCTTTTAAGCCCAGAAAATGACATCTATCTCAGAGACAAACACTGCAAGCTGGGTCTTTGCCCAGGACTGTTGAACAGGCTCTATGAATAGGGTCTTGAGAAGGCTCCTTGCTCCCTTTTAGAAGGGGAGTCGGGAGTCAGCTTCACACTGACAGAGAGAACACTGCAGTGGGATGGACTGGTTTGTGCCCTTACAGAGACCTGGGACAGTGGGCCAAATACCTTATTGTGTCAGCTGTGCTCCTCCCCACCCCTTTGATGTGGTGGCTTTGCACATCCCAGGGTGCTGCAGAGGAGCACGGTGGATCCTTGTCACCTGGCCTCCCATGAGACAGTAGGCAGGCAGAGGAGCTTTGAGGAGCCAGTGGCTGAAGGAGCAGCATAACTTACTCATCTCTGAAGCTTCTGAAAATATGCACTGGGAAAATCCATCAAGCTCAGGTTTTATGAAGTCGGGTCTCAAATCTAACAAAGCTCAAGACAAACAAAGTCAAGTCTAATATGTTAGTGTTTTGGTTTTTTTTCCTTAACCTGCATTGATACTCACCTAATGCCAGAAAATTGAAATAATTTTAATTAATTAAAGATCTCATTTTTTAATACGGGAGCATTTGTTAAGACTCACCTGCTGGTAGGTACAAAATCTTCCACTGCAAGTTCTGCTATGAATAAGCGCCTGCTCAAGCATTATATGATCTCATCCTCTGGGTGCACAGTTTAATCACAGTGCTCTCAATAGAGAGCCCACACTAGGGAAGTGGAGTTTAAAATACGAATCTGTGGGAGGCTCTTGAGGTGGCTTCTTGCTAAGTATGGCCGGGAGCAGGGTGATGTGGGGGGAGATGCCACATTAAGAGACCAAGAGGTAAAAGCAACTCCATAAAACTGTCACCAGCAAACCACCACGTGAAAATTTCATGTGCTTTTACTCTGTTGAATTGACCCTGAAATAGTATACAGAAAGAAAACAAAGATTCTGTGTGTGGCAGTACATGTCACGTTACTTCCCCCCTTTTTTTTTCCTCCAGCAACAAACTCAGCTGTTTAAATGGGTAGCAAAATAACTTAATTCAAGATTATTTAATTTGTCCCCTCATCTTTCAGAACTGTTTTAACCTCTCTTCTACTTCTCCCAAAAAAAAAAAAACCCAAAAAAACAAACAAAAAACAAACAACCAAAACAAAAACCAGAACGAAAGCAACCAACCAACCAAAAAAAAAAAAAAAAAAAAAAAAGAGAAACAAGCTCTTGTAACAAAATGTCAGCAAAGCATCAGATTAACCTACTTTGCCATTCCAGTCCCACAAATGAAAATACTTGGTCAAAACTCTGGTAACTGGATTTCCAACATGGAAAAAGTTGGTCCACATCTTTGTTACCATATTCTTAGTCTTGTTCAGATGAAACTCCTGTAAATTCTGAGTTTCCACTCTCCCCAGACCACCCCGTCTCCTTCATTAGATCACGCTATCTCCCTGTCAGTTCTGCCTAGACACATTATTCTTTTTTACCACCCATTCCCTTTTCAAAACTTCTGTTTCTCAACTACCCCTCTTCTTCCTCTTTGTCTCTTGGGCAAACTTATTTTGCTTCTTGAGAACTAACTTGCCTTTCCTTCCTTTCCCACTTCTCAAATTTTGAAGGGCTTCTACCCCCTGACCTGCATCTTTTGATTGCTACTTCACAGACCACTGCAGTGGGGCACTTGCAGTAGGGTAGTCCAGAGAGGGCTTCGTTCACCCCCACGAAAGGAGAGCACTGACCATTGTCTTCAGACTCGTCAGACCTGCCTGTCCTCCTGTTCTCTCGAGGAAGAAAGCACACGTGAACTGCCACTGGAGAGCAAATGAATGCATCAAGGCAGCAGCTCTTTACTGTTGCTTGCAAAGAGACACAGCAGCGTAGATTAAATTCAAGTAAAAGCCTGAAACAAATGCTTTCTACCAACGCACGTTAAATAGGTGCTTGTGTTTCACGCAGATCCCGATGTACCAAATTAATCCTAATTAAATCTGAGCAGTAGGGGCACCTAAATACACAAATGTGCACGCAGACACGAGGAGCCTGGCTCTCACGGTGAAGTGCCGCTTGTCAGGCAGCTGGAGGGGACCCATCCGCGCCGAGGTGTCCCTCGCCACCAGGGTCTTCCCCCGGCCGGCGGGGCATCCCTCGGACGGCGCGATCCACCGCGTCTCCCTCCGGGAATGAGGATCGGCGGGAGTGTAACGGAGTCCTTCAGGGCGTGAGAAACCTGCGTTTGTGATGGGGGTGTCTTGCAAGCCCGGAACAGGCCGGGGAGCCGCGTGAGGAGAGAGCGGGCAGCACCACAGGCTCGCGTTTTCTCCCGCGAAGGCGACAGGAGGGAGGGGACACGGTTGTCTCGCCGGGGTTCTCATTTGGAGAGGGTTGGGACAAGCCTTAGGAAGATTTAGCAGGGGTACAGCACAGCGCCTTCGGCAGAGCAGCAGCGTCCCGCCGCTTGCCCGCTCCTGCACTTCGGGACAAACAGAGGGCTTTTCCTGCCTGCGGAAAACGAGACGTGTCGGAGAAGCCGAGGAGCGAGCCGGAGCCGAAGCCTCGCTCAGGGGGGCTGGGGGAGGCAGGGAGGGAGGCTGGACCCCCCCAGGTTTTATCCCCGCTGGACACACACCGCGGTGCTCGCCCACGGCGACGGGAGCCCGGCGGGCGCGCACCGGGCGGGGAGAGGTTCCCCACCGCAACCGGGGAAGGAGGACCGGGTCGGGGGGGGGAACGGGGGACGGACGACGACGGGGGACCCTGCGTCAGTGCAGGGCCGTCCCCTTCTCCTCCCCGTGCGCTCGGCTCTGCCTCCCGCCAGCCTCCCACGCCTCCCGCGAGGTGCGGCCGCGCTACATAAACACGGCCCTGCCGCCGGTGCCGGGGCTCTCCGTTCGCAGCCCGACGGAGGAGTTTGTCCGGCAGCGGGCAGAGGAGCGGCCGCGGGGAGCGCAGCGGCAGCGCGGCTCCGGCGCCAGACGGGGCGGGAGGCTCCGGCGGGCAGCAGCGGAGGGCTGCGCTCCCCCGAGGGCGGCGGCCCTGCCGTAGCCCAGGCGGCCGGAGGAAGAGGACGAGGAAGGGCGTGGGCTCCGGCGGGCTCGCTCCGGTATGGCCCTGGCGGACAGCGCCCGCGGGCTGCCCAACGGCGGCGGCGTGTCGCCCGCGGCGGGGAGCGGGGCGCCGGGCAGCGGGGCGGCCGCAGCGGCGACGGGCGGCTGGTCTTCCTTCCCGGAGATCGTGGAGCTGAACGTGGGCGGGCAGGTGTACGTGACGCGGCGCTGCACCGTGGTCTCGGTGCGCGACTCGCTGCTCTGGCGCATGTTCTCGCAGCAGCAGCCCAGCGAGCTGCCCCGGGACAGCAAGGGTCGCTTCTTCCTCGACCGCGACGGCTTCCTCTTCCGCTACATCCTGGACTACCTGCGGGACCTGCAGCTGGTGCTGCCCGAGCACTTTCCCGAGCGCAGCCGCCTCCAGCGGGAGGCTGAGTACTTCCAGCTGCCCGACCTGGCTCGGCGCCTGGCGCAGACTCGGGCGGCCGCCGCCCGCCCCGCCGTCCTGCACCGCGACGGCTCCATCTGCGCCGAGGAGCCGCCGCCGCCGCTGCTCGGCTACCTGGAGGCCGAGCCGCTGGAAGGAGGCGGCGGGGCCGTGGCGTCCGCCCCGTCGCCCACCGCCAGCCGCAGCCCCTCGGGCGGGCCGCTGCTCACGCCCTCGCAGTCGCTGGACGGGGCGGGCGGGCGGCGCTCGGGCTACATCACCATCGGCTACCGGGGCTCCTACACCATCGGGCGGGAGGCGCAGGCTGATGCCAAATTCCGGCGGGTGGCCCGCATCACTGTCTGCGGCAAGACGGCCCTGGCCAAAGAGGTCTTCGGGGAGACCTTGAACGAGAGCCGCGACCCCGACCGCCCTCCCGAGCGCTACACTGCCCGCTACTACCTCAAGTTCAACTTCCTCGAGCAAGCCTTCGACCGACTTTCCGAGGCCGGCTTCCGCATGGCCGCCTGCTCCTCCACTGGCACCTGCGCCTTCGCTCCCGAGCAGGGCGGTCCCGCCGATGACAAGATCTGGACCAGCTACACCGAGTATGTTTTCTGCCGGGACTGAGCATCCGCCCAGCCCGTGGCGTGGGGACAAGACAGCCGGCCCTGCACACCCTCACACCTACGGTCCCCTCGCGTCCCGAAGGAAGGAGGATGTGAAGCGGGGCTGTGTCTCCCTGTGCTTTTCTCACCCGGTGTCTGCCTCCGCGCACAAGGCGGGCCAGCCCCGGCGCAGCCCCCACCCCTCTTGCAGCACCTCCTGACGGCCCCGGGGCAGGAGGTCACCGTGTTGTGCCTCGGCTGTCGTGTCCCTGCTTGGCCATATCCTGGCTCCCACCTTCACCCTCCCTCCTGCATCTCCCAGTAGCTGTGTTGGTAGCAAGGAAGGAGAGAAATATTGGGAGTAGACAAATGCCGGTCCCACAAAAGCATGCATGTGCACCCAGTCTTTGTCCCTCTCCCCACACAGAGCTGAGGTATAGCTCTGGCAGGGTGGGGCATTTTAAAATTCATCCAGGTAGGGCTGAGAAACTTTGAAGTTGCTTTGAGCAACTTCTGTTGAAGAAGGCATGGCAAATGCCTGTCTTTTCCCATCCCGATACCCTTATGAGGGAGTTTGCCTTGGTGGGCAGACCCCAAATGGTCCCTTTTTAACTCCTCCCTTCCCCACCCATCAAAGTGATGCCTGTCTGTGAAGGACTGTCACATAGAAAGGAAGCCTGACTGTGAGGGCTTTGCAGTGGCTCACGCTTTATCTGTTGAGATGAGTAATTTTGCAGGAGGCGTGCATGTGGCCCTTCACAACTGGTTGCTCCTATCTCCCCTCTTTGCTCCCCACATCTCTGAACTCCTCTCTGTTAAGCTGGACCAGGGCCTGCACAGCAAGCATGTAAAGCTGATGTGAAAGGACAGATCTGCTGGATAACCAATCATTTGAACTATGAAGTGTCCTCAGAGACATGTGTTTATTCCCTTAAGAGGTAAAACAAAGACACTTTGAAAAATTAAAGTACTTATGAATTGTAACTTCCATGGGTGAAGTCCTTATAATATACTTCTCTTGAAGTTACTGTCTATAATATGGACAGAAATCTCAATGCGTATTTCCTTAAACACCCTCAAAACGATGGGAGTGAGGTGAAGCCAGGCTTGCCTGAGTAAAGGTAGGGCCTGGGTCCTGGGAAGCTGAAATCATGTGCATTGAGTTAGTGCAAGATGTACATTATTACTGTCATCATGAGCAGCCTTGTTACTTTTTGTCATGTTAGTTCAGTAAAACTCTGAAGCCAGCAGATGACAAAAATCACTTTTTAAAGAGCTATTTCCTTAGTTTTCATAGCAGTATTATTTGGGCACTGACACTGTATCTCTTCTTAGACAAACTTAGTGCTTCTTAGAAAGGATTGAGCCCTGTCCTCAGAAAAACAAGCACGATGCCAACTTTCTTCAGGGGAAATTACTTCTGAGCTGTATTTTGTTACTGCTGAATAACAGTCTTTCCCAGAGGAGGCAGTCAGAGTCTGCATTGGAAGAGATGATCTGAACCGCAGGTTTTACAGAGATTCAGCAGCTCTTTCTAACAAATTCTTGAAGTCTGGAATAAACAACACTTCTCTTTAAAAACCTAAACTTGATTTAAGAATGTGTATAGCCTGTTCAGACCATCACAGAAAAAATATCCTAAATATATCTGAAGTGCTGAAGAATTTAGCAATACATAGTAAAGGCTTGAAGTTATGTTTTTAAAACTCTTGAAAAATAATTCTAGTTCTAGCTAGTTCTAGTTTTAACTCCAAATTTAAAAATACTGCTATCACCAGTATTCTAACCAAAGAATTTCACAGTAGGGCTTTTTAAAAAAACCCTAATTCCTTTGGAAACAGCTATAGCTACATTTCTATCGAGTTTCAGTGCTCAGTCTCTGTTCACTTGGTCTTTCATTAAGTGCATGCACAACTACATAAAACTGAAAATAATTTGCATCATCATGGCTTCTTTTTTCTAATATTAGCAAGGTTGTTTATCAACATGATTGAGTGGAAGATGTGCATATGAAAGCACTGGATACTGTCCATTTGTAGATAGTTGTATTATGGAGTATTTTTAAAAGGATATAAATGTAAACCTGCCAAATTAGATGAGCAATAAGATGCAGTGAGAGGCCAATACACCTGAGGATGGAATGAAGTCTGTTTGTCCTATGCCTTACTCTGAGATGACTTCTTTGTGCTTAACTTTCACCACAAGTGAAAAGACATTGATCACAGCTACTAGGTCTTTACAGTGCCCTTCTCAAGAGTAATGACCGTCTTTTTCTAGTTTCTGTTAAGTAACTCTGAAGTATGTTTTTTAAGATTTTGTATAAAATCAGTTTTCAGTAAAGTGTTCAGATTTGCTCTAGATAGCTTTCTTTTTTTTAAGAATCTGGTAGCTTACTAAATCCATCATAGGAGCTATGAATAATGAAATTGACCTTGTGATTTAGTGTACATATATATACAGTATATAAACATTTTACACAAATCATTTAGGTTTTTTTAATAATATTAGTGCTACAGGATTTCATAATGTATCTAGCTGAGCATTTTCACATTATGTCATGTACATAACATAGTAATGTCTTACTGGTTTCTTATACCTGTTTCAATATAAAAACTGAATATGAGTATCATCAGCTTGTAGAACTGAAATTGATGACATATTTGCTTGAATGTGAATCTTCTAGGTGGCTGAATGCATCTCTAAAACAAAGATTGCCTGTCTTTTGATTAATGGTTGTCTATCCCTTTCCTGGCAGATGACCCAGTACTTCTCACTTTTTACATGAAAATGGATGTAATATAAACAGGATTTTTTTTTTAGTCTTTGTGCTAAAAAATTTTAAGTGTTATTAGTGTTAAGAAATGGGCCTTTAATTTACTGATAACTCATTATCAGTATTGTCAGCAGGCTTAAAATGATGGTGCCATAAATATAATAGTCATTTGATTCTTTGCCACAGAAGATGATACTTTCCTGAACCATTACTTAGAAATGGCAGTAAACTTTCTAAAAGGAAAAATGCTCAAGGCAAAGTCAATGAGTTTTAATTGTCTGTTCTATTGAGAGCTTGAAGAATGGATAAACACAGCGACTCTGCTGCCTTGTTGACATGAAAACATACAAAAATATAAAGGCACAATACTGGAGTCCTGTCTACATTTTGTAGCTGTTGCTGTTCACAGTTCATGTACTTATGGATGAATGCAGTAGCATTTACAAGTGCTATTAAAAAATCCACAAGGGCAGTCTTTCTTTTAATTAGAAGTTAAGGCATAGATCTTTTCAGTGATGCATATCATGAAGGGTGATTTTGCATATGTTTGATAGGATGTTTATATTTTTATACATGTAGATAATGAGCCACTTATTCATTCTTATTTTCACATGTATAGCATTGAAAATAAAGATCCTCCTAAGACAAAGTTGCATACCAAATTAAATTTTTGTTCTTTAAATATTAACTCGGTTGTGTGGTTTATGCTGTCCTTTTTATTCTCTGTGCAGATGTTGTTAGCTTTGTTCTCCAACAGTATCATATTCATAACTTCAGCAAAGACTCCAAACTAATGTGTAAAGAAAAAACACAAAGAAAATTATGTATACAGAGACCTCTAGTAACACCCATGGCAAGATAAACAGAAATGTATAGTACTCAGACTGCATAATTTCCTTTTAAGCATCACAGAGAATTTTTGCAGTACTGGTCAGTCAATCCTCAGGAAGAAATAGTGATTGAACAGCTTAATTTGAACAGCATTGAGTAATTGTTGAAGTCAAATGTTGATGTTTTTTATGAAGCTAGAGAATAATAACATGGGATACAGTACTCATTTAATGAAAGAAACATTAATACCTAAGGTAATACATGATCTGAGAGAGTTGAATCTAGAAATTTTAATTAGCTGCCTGATGATATCTTGCAAACTCTTCTAAACTTGTGGAAAATTAGTAGTGACTTAGTATAATCCACGTGTGAAGTGCCTGTACATTTAATAGTTCTTTCTTGGGTATCATGGTTATACTACAAAGGAACCAGCTGAAGGAAGTTTAATCAACTGTTTAATTTGACAGCTTGATAGTATTTGAGTGCTTTGTTATCATGCAATAATATAAGAAAGGAGGTCATTCTATGGGCAGCAAAACTTTGAAGGCTTAGGTCTCATTTTCTTTGTACTACTCCTCCTGCTCATCTCTGCCAATATTATTCAATTTCTACTTGAAAAAGTAGGCACATTCCTTGACAGAGCCACCTTCTGCTAGGCTAAAGGTGATGGCTGAATTTTGGCTTTGTCCCTCCATGAACTACAGATTTGCTTCTTCCTTTTCCTTACTCCGTCATCAGTATTCATAGAATTTGTAAGAATGTAACAGCTGTGAGGTTTTTCAGTTCTTTTGATTGTGCTTCAATTACCCATCAACTCAGAAGTTAAGGGGGACAGATATCCACCCAAATGGACAATGCAAATGCCATGAGCCTTATTTCAGTAGGAAACAAGGCTGTCAGAATACTGTGATTTGTACCTGGCACTGTCTACATAGTCTGAGTGTACTAAATCCCTGTAGAGTGAGAAGGCAGGTGGTCACTCTTACTTTTGCAGTTCTGGCCAGTCAGTCAAACTAATGGGTATGCTAGAATGTCTTAAAAATACTTACAGACTCCTAATTTCTGCAGCATTTCCAAGGCTGAATCAAAGTGTGTAGGAAATATTTTCTAAAGATTTGATTTGCCTCAGGGCAGGGTTGTTTTTTGTTATTTTTTTTTTTTAAATTTTTTTTTTTATTGTAAGAACCCTTCAGTGCAGTTTTCAATGAAATATTAGCGCTAATGTGTTATTTATTTAGAAAGTACTTAGTTTTATGAAACCGAATGCTAATTTTGTTTTTCATTAAAATGAGCGGCATGTGTTTCTCCCCTGCTGCTAAACAGAACTCATACGTATGACTGCTGAAGTAGTAATGCATTGCAAATAGTCTGTTGGACAACTGCTGTGACAGTCAAAACCATAGCTGGTCAAATTATCACATTTCTTCCCCATTCTACTCTCCACTGTGCTCAAACTGGAATAAAATTAAACTCTGTTACACGTTTCTTGCTCTACACATTTTTTTAGTACACACTATGGAGCTTTTGATACTTCTGTCAAAGTTTCTGGCAGCTGTGAGTTGGGGATTTGAAGCAGGTCTGTTTCCTTGTGAAGAAATAAAGGCTAGGAAATATTCTTGCACAAAGTGGGAGCGGCTTCAAGCAATTTGGGAAAAATTCTTGGTATTGCAGGAAATCAGATATTTTTCTGTATAATCCAAGTAATACACTCACACATTACACCGTCATGCAAACCCAACCTGCCCTGGAAAGCTGAAGTCCTTGATGACACTTGCTTGTTCTAGGTTTTATTTTGTATCATCTAGATGAGAGAAATTCTTTTGTTTTTCTCCTTCAAAAAAGCTCAGTGTTTAGCAGCTGGGAAATGACAATGTTAGTGGTACACCTTGCTTTGAGTTAACATTTCATCATCCTTGTTTCAACATAATGCAAAAGGTAGAGAAGTTCACATGGGAGCTTATAGGAATTATAGAATCATGGAATCACTAGGTTTAGAATGCTTAGCTCCATGTAGTCTCTGACTTGCCATTTGCAATTTAACAATTTTCTTGACCTAGAATTTAAGTGTAGGTTCATTGAAGTTCAGCCAAAGAAGTTGAGACCAGAATATCTAGATTGTGATCACAAAAACAGGTCTATTGATAAAGACTATGTGATCTATGTTTTTAATTTGTAATTTTGAGGTAAAGACAGAACCTTGGTTAATTTATTAAGGAGCAGGCTGTTATTAAAAACAAAATAAAATGGGGGAAAAAATCCTCCAGTCCTCTCCCGCATTCTTGAGGAGGGAATGCAGTTCTGGTGTGATGAGAGCAGCCTATTGTTTTGATTTCAGAGATAACTGAAATAACCCACAATGTTGCCATCTCAATTCTGTCTGTTTTTTCTGGTCTTGGCTGAACTTTAAGATCACACCCACCTTTAATAAGTGGTCCTTTAAAAAAGCATATATTCATAACTATGTAGACTTCCATAAATTTGGATATAGTTTGGTTTTGACTCATATTTTCCAAATAGTTTAGTGACAATCTTTGTCCTCATATTACAGCAAAGCCCGTGATTATTAGAAGCCTGAAGTTAAAGTTTTTCCCTTTAAAAGGGCAGAGACTGTACCAAGAATGACTTTTTTTTTTTTTTTTTTTTTTGTAAAGGATACAAATGGTGCACTTTCCCCTCCAAATTTATAGTCTTGTACAAACACTCCTAATTTTCCCCACCTTGTAAAATTACACATCTTCCTATGGCTGACAGCTCAAGGCATGAATATTTCTGAAAGCTGCAAGCACCAGGAGGTCTTGCAGTGATTCCCAGTTGTTCCATAGCAATCCCTTCCTGCTATGGTCCCTTGTGCAGTCAGAACCAAGCTGGGTGGGCAGCTGAGTCCCAGGCCCCAGGATTACCCCGTGGCCCTGACCACAGCTGCCCCCTGTGCCTGGCTTCCTGCGCCTGGCCATGACCAAGGTAGTGCAGTAGTCCCTGAGCCAGCTCCGTCCTGCTGCTGGTGCCTTGTCTGAATAAAGGGGCAGCATTTGTATTCTGGTACATTCTGTGCAGCCCAACGGCTGCAAACTGGCACTTCTTCTCCAGGAGATTTCTGACCCACTTATTTCCAGGGTTTGCTTTCACAGTCTGCTCTTTATCTGCTGTCTCGAGGTATGGTTGGAATATGGGAAAGGTTCAGCTGTTTAGAGTAGTCTGTCTAACAGCTTATCTTCCATGGCACTAGAGGGACAATGAGGACAACTCACTTAAAAAGAGTTTTACAGTCCTTTAAAATTTTATGGTCTAAATAAACCATGGAAAGTGCTGCATAAACTATAATAACACTTAAGGCACCTTTTCTGTTTAAGGTGAGAATGATGACTTAATCAGTTTTGCTGGAGCACCAGCATGTTCATCCTCTTGGACTCGTTCGTATCATTCTAGAGGTTGAAGGGCAGTCACCTGCAGGTAACTGGGCCAAACAGTCCAATTTCTTCAGAAAATGTTAGATTAAGAGTATATGTATACAAATGCACCAGTGTTTCTTTTCCTAGGAGAGCAGTTTCATCTTGACAATTATCAGATTGGATGTTTTCCAACACATCACCTCCTAGGGTTTGAGGACAGAAAGAAATGTCCAGATCATATGGTCTGCTGTTCAACATAGCATACATTGTAGGGCTTCCCCTAACAGAGTCTTTAAATCAGGCAGTGAAATTTCTTGGACTGTCATCTAACTTCATGGATGATACTGCTTGTGCACAAGAAGACATCACAGTGCCTGGTTAAATGTTAGGCTGTGAATGCCACCAGCTTTGGCTTTCACCCAGCAGGCTCTGCAATGTCTTCTTCATCGATGCCCTGAGGCTGTAGCGAGTGTTCTGCCTCAGGAGGGTATGTACAGAAGTACTTCCACTGATCAAGATCTGGGGATGAACTGCCCTGTGGTGTCCTTTGGTTCCTTGCCAGTTGTCCCTGTAACCAGTTTTTCACTGGCATTGCTGATGTGGCCGTGGAGTGGACCAGTTCAGGGACCTGGTGTAGATGGAAACCTTAAAACAAGGAAAGAGGAAAAAGCAGGCCTATTTTCAGCTGGATCAGCTCCCAGAATGGGCTCACAGCATAATGGAGTTATTAGTGTCGGGCAAAGGAGCCTGATATCTAAACAGAATGAGCTCCTGTGGTCTGTCAGTAAGGCATGTTTTTCACTCCTTTAGTTATCTCCTGTCTCTTCTCTAAATCCTCTTCAATTTATCAATGTCTTCTGAACTTCTGATTTCAGATCCTTCTCTTTCTAATAAGGGAATTCACCAAAAAAAGTAATATTGTCCTAGCCTCTGGGTTTTTTTCCATTTGTTTCTTCGAGGTTTGAATTAGCACACCTAGGGGTTTAAGTGTCTCTGGAGTTTATGTTCAGTAAACAATGACTGCGAGCACATCTATTCTGTCTCCAGAATTCTGTCCCAATTATCCGTCAAAATGCATGGGACTTCCTAAGATGTTTTCTTATTAAACATTATGCCACAGTTTAACTTGAAACAACTAAGGAACAAAGCCTAGTAAAAGTGGATCTATTTCGTACACATCAGTGTTGATGGACATCACTGTGACATGAATGCTTGGTATAATTTTCACTGGTTATTACATTGGATAGGTAGTTTTCCAACCACATGAATGGATGACTAAGCATTGATTGACGGGTTGGCAGGCCTGAAGTTCCTAGATTACCCAATTTTCTTTTAACCACAGTCCAAACAGTCCATGCTTTTTTCCCAGTCCTTGGGAACTTCTGCAGGGATCTGAGATTTTTGAGAAAGCTGCATTAGTAAATACACAGGCTTGTAAACATACCAGATACAAATTGGCCAGACCTGACTGAAAAAAATACTTGTTGCTCATATTTATTTTTATTAGTTTTGGAAGGGAAATTGATCATTATTCCTAACAGACCTGAATAGCAAAATGTTTATACTTCTCCTGAACTTGCAAGCCTACAAATTCCATCTAGTAATGAATCTGTACAATTTTTCACATTGTTCCAAATAAAATTAAATAATTTCATTTGTAGTCATGCTGACTACCTCTTTCTTTGTGTTCTTTTTTCTTACATTATTAAATTTATGCAATGCAGTTAGTACAGTATTTGGAATTTATAGCTTTGATTTATACAGATTGGTGTAGCCTCCTCTTTCCATTTTAGACTTTATATCTATAACTTTTTAATAGCAGCTATCTGGATCCTGTCCCAGGTTGTACTGGATGACTGTTACCTCCTGTTGATCTCAACAAAATGTGCTGTCACTACAGGATGCTAATGAGAACTTAGACAAAAAATGTATTCTCTTTTTTTACTTTCAGGACTTTACATTTAAGGAGCAGGCTGTTATTAAAAACAAAATAAAATGAGGGAAAAATCCTCCAGTCCTCTCTGATTCTTGAGGAGTGAATGCAGTCCTGGTGTGATGAGAGCAGCCTATTGTTTTGATTTCAGAGATAACTGAAATAACCCACAATGTTGCCATCTCAATTCTGTCTGTTTTTTCTGGTCTTGGCTGAACTTTAAGATCACACCCACCTTTTTGCAGTTATTTGATTTTAAGATCACACCACCATTTGCAGTTATTTGCTGAACCTGTAACCTAGAAATTCAGTATTTTTAAAGGTAAATGTCTTAATATGCAGCTAGTGTGAACTTATACGATCATGTTACTTTGTGTTTTGACTGCTAAATCTCTTACTATTTGTTGTGGTATATGTACAAAGAATACCTAGATGGATACCAGAGGAGTATTTTCTAAGAACTTTCTTAGCACTCTTTCAACATATTTAAAAGTTTCTTCTTCATTAAATACTGTTATTCCTAAACTCCATTTACAGAGTTACCTAAGAACATTACTGATACACATTTTGGAGTATTACACACATGGCACACAGGTCATTCCTTTGTTCTTCCTTGAACTTGCATTCACTGGAGTCACTATTTTCTTTTTTTCTGAGGCCCTGCTTCCAGTATGTATGAAGTGGTATGGAAATCAGATGGACAGCATGAGATTCAGCTGTGGTAAAGGCTTGTGGCCAAATAAGAGTGCCATCGCTGACAGCCTCTCAGCTCCTAGAGGCTACACACTGCCTACCCACCCCACAAATTCATGGAGTGTGAAGGCTGATACTGTCTGGATAAATAACAAACACTTAACATTAAAAGCAATATGTTGTAGTAGTTTTTATCTTTTCTCTTTCTTTTCCTCAGGTTACTCTTCAAGAGAAGGCCCCATTGTAATTTTAAACACGATCTTGGCTATAATTCCCTCACTATAACCATACAGTTGTGATCTCCATTTTTCCCTTGACATTGTCTTTAATAATTTCCACTTTTTCATTTACAGCATTAAATTACAGGAAATTAGAGGAAGAAATGTTTCTTTAAATTACCCTCCTTAGACAATAAGAAATTACTTTTAATTGTAATTTCAATAGCAGCAAAGGGAAATAAAAAAGTTGCTGGCTGAAATCCGCAAGTTGTCCTCTTTATATGGAATACCAGAAGAAGTAGCTCTGAATAAACTGGTTTCAATCAAGAAAGAAACTTTTCCTGTGGTCAAAGCATCTCTCTTCTGGAACAGCAGTTGCTTAGTACTGAATGTTTTCCTCAAGATGAAGTATATATCCCACAGACATTTCTCAAACACAGGACAATAATTTCAGAATAAAAAAATCATAAGACTCTCAGTAAAGCCCACAGAGCATCTCAGAATACTGTATCACACACCCATTTTTAAGT